GTGAAGAACATTCTTAGTCAAGTCTTTTAAACTTGCTGGTCAATACATATATTTGCATACACATTACTGTGAGCTGCTGTTCACAATGTTATTGTACCTAGCCAGGAAAACAAACCCCTGAAGTTCAAAGGAAACAAGCAAGTGGTTGTGGACATGTTCAGGAAGTAAGGGTGCAGCACTGTCTACAGCACAGCACACAAGTCAAGTTTCAAATAACATCCAAAGAGAGTGTGTTCCAAGTATTTTATTAAATTCAAAGTTGATGCCAGTTCAGACTTCTTCCAGGCACAGTTCAGGGAACCTGAGAACAGAAAATACAATTTAGAACATTTGCAAAGCATTTCCCATTACTTCATTGTAAGCAAGTCTTTAAGTTAATCCCAACTACAGTTAGGAAGGTCAATGAGGTCTGGTTCTACACTGGCACCAGTTGCATGCGGCCACCTGGGCTGGTACGGGAATGGCATTTGGAATTACTCTCAAAACTACTTGGGTGCCAGATCAAAGTGCGAGTTTGAGTCAGTGGGCTGCACATTAGAGCCAGAAGCAACCACTTCCTTGGGAAGGAAAGTTTCCACATGCCCAGCTTTTACTTTGGAGCACACCCATTGCAGGGGTTTGCCTGCTGAAGGGTTTGAAGGGTATGAGGGCCTGGTAGGGCTTGGCCTGCTAGAGGATTTCGAAGGGTAGGAGGCGGTAGGGGCTGGCATGCTGAGGATTTGAAGGTAGGAAGGCTGCTGGGGTTTTGGCCGGGTACCTAGACTGCCAGGGGATTTGAAGGGTCGGCAGGCTGGTAGGGCTTGGCCTGCTGAGGATTCGAAGGGTATGAAGGCCGGTAGGGCTTGGCCTGCTGAGGATTTGAAGGGTAGGCAGGATGCTGGGGTTTGGGTTGGTACCGAGACTGCAGGGGACTTGAAGGGTTGGTAGCCCGCTGGGGATTTCAAAGGGTTTGCTGGCTGGTAGGGCTTGGCCTGCACATTAGAGTCAGAAGAAACACTTCCTTCGGAAGGAAAGTACCACATGCCAGCTTTACTTTGGAGCACCCCTTGCAGGGGTTCGGTTGCTGAGGCTTGCCTGTTGAGGATTTGAATGGTAAGAAGGCTGCTGGGGTTTTGGCTGGTACCTAGACAGCAGGGGACTTGAAGGGTTGGTAGCCCGCTGGGGATTCAAAGGGTAGGCTGGCTGGTAGGGCTTGGCCTGCTGAGGATTTGAAGGGTATGAAGGCTGGTAGGGCTTGGCCTGCTGAGGATTTGAAGGCTGGTAGGGCTTGGCCTGCTGAGGATTTGAAGGGTAGGAGGGCTGGTTGGGCTTGGTCTGCTGGGGTTTGGGCTGGTACCAAGACTGCAGGGGATTTGAAGGGTTGGCGGCCTGCTGAGGTTTGGGCTGGTGGGGCTTAGGGTTGTAGCCGGCCTGCTGGGGCTTTGGAAGGTTTTTGGGCTTCTGGGGCTTGAGTAGGGACCAGAGTGCATCACAATTGCAGAACTTGAAGCAATACCAGATTGAAAAGAGTTTGGATTATGGGGCAAAGGGAAAGCCCACGGGGCAGCTTTGCTTGGAAGGACACCATTTGCACTAGGGTTAGCTTGAGGTAGTTGGTTTGGCTTACGAATTATTGGTTGGCTTGGCCCGTAACTAGAAACACTTCCCTCAGGACTGTAACCAACCTACTTGCCTTCCATGAGAGCCACTATAACCTCCTGCACTTGGTGCAGCAGCTGGCTTCAGAGTCTCAGATAAAGCCCCATCAGCATGAAAGGGTGAATAACTACCCAAACCCTCTCAGGCTGTGCTGAACTATCATCACTGGAAGTGGAAGCGGGTTTAAGGCTTCTTGAAAAATCAAAGTGAGGTGTAATGCCACTGGAGCCTCCACTTCTGTAGCTGAGTGCTAAAAGGAGAACACATTTTTTAAAAGACAGCCTTAGAGGAAAATTATACATTTCAATTGCAGCTTGTGAACCATAAATCCTTACCCTTTGCTTGCTGCCCAAAAATCAAGAGTGAGATCACAAGAACTCTAAGAAAAGAGGAATTAAACATGAGCCAACCAAAAACAGTTAAGTAGAATAAATATAAGAAATCTGCCAAAATAAGAATATCTTACCTCACACACAATCCAAAACCCATTTTTGTTGTAAAACTGAAACCAAACAGTCTGTAAGCGGTGTGCAGCAAATACAAAAATAATCTATTATTTCAGATTCATGACTGCTGCAAAGACAGTGGTCCTTTTAAAGTGTCGTTTCATGAGCTGACCAATCATCGCACTGATGAAGTCATTGGAATCAGCTTGGGAACTCCGCCCTCTGGCAACCTGGGCAGGTGTCCACACTTTAGCTAATTTGACACATTCAACATTTCATTCTGTCAGCAGATCTGATTCAAAAGTCAGTTTAACCAAATGATAACCTTTACCTGGCCGCTAGGCAAAATTCCCCTGACAGGCGATAATAGTTTGATCGTAGTTTTGTTTTTGTTTATTGAGGTTTTGATTTAATTTTCCTCCTTCAATTCCACAGAGGTTTTAGTAAGACCCAGAAACTAAGACCTAAAAAGTGTAAGCTTTTGATCTTAAAACACTATGAAATGACAAGCTGTATTCAAATCAAACACATATATATATATGTATACATATTAACATATGTTTAAGATTTAATTTATATATATGTTCCACTGCAAATAAGATATTGTTCTCTTCCACTGAAGTTGAGATCTTATGGGACCTTTTACCACTGTATGATTACTTACAAACAAATGTTCTTGTGATTTGAAAATGATTTTGGAAGTGTTTTGGCTTATTGAAAACCACATATTTTATATCACTGCTTATAATTAGACTCAATTACTGTAAATGTTCTTTCCTCCAAGCAGCCATTGATTATAGGGCCCTATAAAAGTCACCTGCAGTGACTGAAAGCACTTTTAGGAGCACACTTATGGTTTTCAGTAAAGAGAGACACAGCTGACAAAGACACAAACTATTTTATTAGCCATCATTCATGATACTGGTTTCACAAAAAATGTAATTCAAACAATGTTTCATTATTTTTTACATTACAAAGAAAATAAACTATTTCTATGTCCCAACATTTACCATTATTTCAATTGCTAGATATTTTAATATAAATATTATAGCAATATATAACATATTATATATATGAGCATAACACATGTAGATACATCATTCTTAAAACACCAACTGAGAGCCACTAATTGAGGCGATACTGCTAAAATAGGGAGGTAGAAGTAATGATTTAGACTGGAGTAAAGAGTATAGTAAAATATACACATTTAAATTGAAAAAGGAAATAATTTAGAACTGTACATAGAGAGAAGGAAGATGGAAAGAAGGATAGAGGAAAGAAAGAAAAAGCTGAGTTTGAGGCCGAGGCAGAGAGCCAGCTCGTTCTTCTGGATCTTTCCGTCTCCGTTGATGTCGCAGTGACCCATCAGAGCTTTCCTGAACTTGTCCAGGTCTGTGCCACTGATGCTGGGCTGGAGGAGAGGGTCGGGGGGTGGAAGAGTTACAGAGAGGTCAGAAGACTCCTGATGAATGACACTGACTGATATCTGATCAATAACATTGTGTATCAGCTCTGTATATAAGGGAATGTAAGGGCACCTTCACCAGCTCCATCATATCTTTGACAAATCCATCCACCTCAGGGCCCTCCAGCTCACCCGTCTTACTCTATAGAAGGAGGCATACTTTTTAATTCTCTCAGTGTTTGTTTTTGATTAACAGTTACACACATGCCTAACAGGACCTATACACATTAGGCCCGAAATACAAACATATGCATTATATGACATCAATTCAGCAGCATGGAATAAAGCATAAACTGCAATGTTTCTGAAGATGTTGTTTTAAGTGATACAAGTTTGTCATGTGTAGTCCAATAAACCTCATTAGGAGTCTGACACTTTGAAATAATATTGGACACTCATCCTTGAAAGTTCTCATAGCCTTTAAGTCATCAAACTTTCAAATGTTAAGTGAAGAACATTCTTAGTCAAGTCTTTTAAACTTGCTGGTCAATACATATATTTGCATACACATTACTGTGAGCTGCTGTTCACAATGTTATTGTACCTAGCCAGGAAAACAAACCCCTGAAGTTCAAAGGAAACAAGCAAGTGGTTGTGGACATGTTCAGGAAGTAAGGGTGCAGCACTGTCTACAGCACAGCACACAAGTCAAGTTTCAAATAACATCCAAAGAGAGTGTGTTCCAAGTATTTTATTAAATTCAAAGTTGATGCCAGTTCAGACTTCTTCCAGGCAAGTTCAGGAACCTGAGAACAGAAAATACAATTTAGAACATTTGCAAAGCATTTCCCTTACTTCATTGTAGCAATCTTTAAGTTAAACCAACTTACAGTTAGGAAGGTCAATGATGTCTGTTCTACACTGGCACCAGTTGCTGCGGCCACCTGGGCTGGTACGGGAATGGCATTGGAATTTCTCTCAAACTACTTGGGTCAAGATTCAAGTGCGAGTTTGAGTCAGTGGGCTGCACATTAGAGCCAGAAGCAACACTTCCTTGGGAAGGAAAGTTCCACATGCCAGCTTTACTTTGGAGCACCCATTGCAGGGGTTTGGCCTGCTGAGGGTTTGAAGGGTATGCGGGCTGGTAGGGCTTGGCCTGCTGGGGATTCGAAGGGTAGGAAGGCCGGTAGGGCTTTGGCCTGCTGAGGATTTGAAGGGTAGGAAGGCTGCTGGGGTTTTGGCCGGTACCTAGACTGCAGGGGATTTTGAAGGGTCGGCAGGCTGGTAGGGCTTGGCCTGCTGAGGATTCGAAGGGTATGAAGGCCGGTAGGGCTTGGCCTGCTGAGGATTTGAAGGGTAGGCAGGATGCTGGGGTTTGGGTTGGTACCGAGACTGCAGGGGACTTGAAGGGTTGGTAGCCCGCTGGGGATTCAAAGGGTTTGCTGGCTGGTAGGGCTTGGCCTGCACATTAGAGTCAGAAGAAACACTTCCTTCGGAAGGAAAGTACCACATGCCAGCTTTACTTTGGAGCACCCCTTGCAGGGGTTCGGTCTGCTGAGGCTTGGCCTGTTGAGGATTTGAATGGTAAGAAGGCTGCTGGGGTTTTGGCTGGTACCTAGACAGCAGGGGGACTTGAAGGGTTGGTAGCCCGCTGGGGATTCAAAGGGTAGGCTGGCTGGTAGGGCTTGGCCTGCTGAGGATTTGAAGGGTATGAAGGCTGGTAGGGCTTGGCCTGCTGAGGATTTGAAGGGTATGAAGGCTGGTAGGGCTTGGCCTGCTGAGGATTTGAAGGGTAGGAGGGCTGGTTGGGCTTGGTCTGCTGGGGTTTGGGCTGGTACCAAGACTGCAGGGGATTTGAAGGGTTGGCGGCCTGCTGAGGTTTGGGCTGGTGGGGCTTAGGGTTGTAGCCGGCCTGCTGGGGCTTTGGACGGTTTTTTGGGCTTCTGGGGCTTGGAGTAGGGGACCAGAGTGCATCACAATTGCAGAACTTGAAGCAATACCAGACTGAAAAGAGTTTGGATTATGGGGCAAAGGGAAAGCCCATGGGGCAGCTTTGCTTGGAAGGACACCATTTGCACTAGGGTTAGCTTGAGGTAGTTGGTTTGGCTTACGAATTATTGGTTGGCTTGGCCCGTAACTAGAAACACTTCCCTCAGGACTGTAACCACCTACTTGCCTTCCATGAGAGCCACTATAACCTCCTGCACTTGGTGCAGCAGCTGGCTTCAGAGTCTCAGATAAAGCCCCATCAGCATGAAAGGGTGAATAACTACCCAAAACCCTCTCAGGCTGTGCTGAACTATCATCACTGGAAGTGGAAGAGGGTTTAAGGCTTCTTGAAAAATCAAAGTGAGGTGTAATGCCACTGGAGCCTCCACTTCTGTAGCTGAGTGCTAAAAGGAGAACACATTTTTTAAAAGACAGCCTTAGAGGAAAATTATACATTTCAATTGCAGCTTGTGAACCATAAATCCTTACCCTTTGCTTGCTGCCCAAAAGTCAAGAGTGAGATCACAAGAACTCTAAGAAAAGAGGAATTAAACATGAGCCAACCAAAAACAGTTAAGTAGAATAAATATAAGAAATCTGCCAAAATAAGAATATCTTACCTCACACACAATCCAAAACCCATTTTTGTTGTAAAACTGAAACCAAACAGTCTGTAAGCGGTGTGCAGCAAATACAAAAATAATCTATTATTTCAGATTCATGACTGCTGCAAAGACAGTGGTCCTTTTAAAGTGTCGTTTCATGAGCTGACCAATCATCGCACTGATGAAGTCATTGGAATCAGCTTGGGAACTCCGCCCTCTGGCAACCTGGGCAGGTGTCCACACTTTAGCTAATTTGACACATTTCAACATTTCATTCTGTCAGCAGATCTGATTCAAAAGTCAGTTTAACCAAATGATAACCTTTACCTGGCCGCTAGGCAAAATTCCCCTGACAGGCGATAATAGTTTGATCGTAGTTTTGTTTTTGTTTATTGAGGTTTTGATTTAATTTTCCTCCTTCAATTCCACAGAGGTTTTAGTAAGACCCAGAAACTAAGACCTAAAAAGTGTAAGCTTTTGATCTTAAAACACTATGAAATGACAAGCTGTATTCAAATCAAACACATATATATATATGTATACATATTAACATATGTTTAAGATTTAATTTATATATATGTTCCACTGCAAATAAGATATTGTTCTCTTCCACTGAAGTTGAGATCTTATGGGACCTTTTACCACTGTATGATTACTTAAAAACAAATGTTCTTGTGATTTGAAAATGATTTTGGAAGTGTTTTGGCTTATTGAAAACCACATATTTTATATCACTGCTTATAATTAGACTCAATTACTGTAAATGTTCTTTCCTCCAAGCAGCCATTGATTATAGGGCCCTATAAAAGTCACCTGCAGTGACTGAAAGCACTTTTAGGAGCACACTTATGGTTTCAGTAAAGAGAGACACAGCTGACAAAGACACAAACTATTTTATTAGCCATCATTCATGATACTGGTTTCACAAAAAATGTAATTCAAACAATGTTTCATTATTTTTTACATTACAAAGAAAATAAACTATTTCTATGTCCCAACATTTACCATTATTTCAATTGCTAGATATTTTAATATAAATATTATAGCAATATATAACATATTATATATATGAGCATAACACATGTAGATACATCATTCTTAAAACACCAACTGAGAGCCACTAATTGAGGCGATACTGCTAAAATAGGGAGGTAGAAGTAATGATTTAGACTGGAGTAAAAGAGTATAGTAAAATATACACATTTAAATTGAAAAAGGAAATAATTTAGAACTGTACATAGAGAGAAGGAAGATGGAAAGAAGGATAGAGGAAAGAAAGAAAAAGCTGAGTTTGAGGCCGAGGCAGAGAGCCAGCTCGTTCTTCTGGATCTTTCCGTCTCCGTTGATGTCGCAGTGACCCATCAGAGCTTTCCTGAACTTGTCCAGGTCTGTGCCACTGATGCTGGGCTGGAGGAGAGTGTGAAGTAAAAACTTCTTTGCAGCAATGTTGAGCGCATCATCAAATGAGGGAAACTGGATTCGCCTGTCAATACACTGATATTTATTGAGAGACAGACAATTACATACGGCCGGGAACTCATCCTAGTTTCACACTGTCCTTGTGCTCCACCAAGGTAATCTCTGCCCCAAAAGCCACAAAACATCTAACCAACACGGGGAGAGGCGGGCTCCCAGAAAGCCCGCGTATAATCAATAGCCGATGCGAGACAATGGTCTGCTTGTCTCAAAGAGATGCTGCCAGGTCAACCCCCCACGGACATAGGAGAAGCGTTTGACCTGTGACCTCAACCTATAGAGGAGTCTCTGACTGACTACAAGCAGATGTTTGCAGTATCACAGATTCTATAAAACAATAAGAAACTCTATAAACAGATCAGATGAAAATATTCTCTTACAGATTCACTCTTTTTATCAATCTATTGATAACCAATTAACATTAGTCTAAGAATATTTCAGTCAATACTTAAAATCAATAAGCGTCTTCAGAGTTGGGTGGGCTCAGATACATTCATTACATTAAAAATAGAACAAGATTGAAAAACATTTCAATCACCCTGATTGAACACAGTCAATCATAATAAAAATCATCTCTCTTCAGTGCTTGGCATCTTTTGTCAAAAGGCACAATAATAAACACATGAAATACAACAATATTATAGCAAAATATATGTTTCAAAAATAAGATATTTTATCATTTATCACTCAGTTAATCTCATTCATCAAACACAAATTCTAAATCATCTTACATCTCAAAGATTTACTTTAAGGCAATTACTTATTAAAACACAATTAGAATTTAGGATTTATAATAAATCCAATTGAGGTATTAAATCAGAATCATGAGAGATCCAGCTAAGGTTCCTAGTTAAGGTATACATTCACAGTGATGAATCGATCAATCTGTAATCTGTAAAGTTACAGTGTCCTCAATCTTTAACATTACTTTACGTTTACTTCATTACGCTTTATTCAAGAGTAAGGCATGATATTTAATTAATTACATTACTTCAACTATCAATCATTATGTCATTTCAAAATCTGAAGGGAAAACTAAACAATTCTCAAAATGTTTAACAATCTGAAGAATCAAACATTTTATTGTATAACGACCTGAAAAGGAAAAAATCAAAACATCTGTTCTTTATTCAGAGCATCAACTGTAATCAATATCAAAACATCTGTTCTTTATTCAGAGCATCAACTGTAATCAATATCAAAAAAAATGTTCTTACCTGGTAATGATTAAGGATAGTAACATTGTCTGTTATAATATTAGAAATATCTTATTGTCCAATACCTTATAAATCTGAAAATATCAATTAATTAATTAGTTTAGTGTGAAAGTGTAATCTGATAAAATATATTTATCACCACTATTTAACACATATCTGTTCATTGGGAATACAAAAACAATCATTAATTGTACATCTGTAATCATCTGGTCATTCAATTCAAATGTTATCTTTGTACGAGAGCTAGAAGACATGTTTTCCTCCTCTCTTTATGACACAGAATGTCTGGTGTGTAAAGGCATCCTGATACTGTAGATTAGCACTGAGGTGCTGATTGGCTCAAAACTCTTCTTCATCAGAGCGCCATAACTCAATTATCTGTAGATTAGCACTGAGGTGCTGATTGGCTCAAAACTCTTCTTCATCAGAGCGCCATATCTCAATCCCCCCCAATTGCTCTGCTTTTGTGGCTCAATTCAGTGAGCACTTTATGATCTCCCAATGAAACAGAGGCTCATCTGCCTGCATTCCTTCTGCTATCTGCTTGAGAGCAGTGCACCTGCCTATTCCAAGTGGCACATCCAGATGCCCCCCCCCCCTGTGATGGGAGAGGTTATGAAAACATCTGCTCCTCCAAGAAACATGAAAACCTTGTATGACGACCTCTGAAACCATCGCTCGTCCTGCGAGCGAAAATGAAGAAGCATCCTATCTCATCAGAAAGTTGAAGATTAGAATCCTCTCATCTCGAACAACCTCCTTGCCCGTGGATAAGTTGCTCTCTGCAGCCGCAGAGTGTGATCCTCTCTCTCTGACCCTTGGCCTTCAGAGCTCTCCTAGTTATTGGGTTAACACTTGATAGGGATGTTTTCCTGAGTGCAGACAACTCAAGGTAATGGATTAGCACATTATCATTCAATTACAAAAATAGGATAGGCCCCCTCAGAATGATTTGGGAGCCTTCCTGAGACATGCACATTATAAATGTAAGGTTTGTGTTAGTCATTTAACATGCAAGAATCATATACTCATCAGTCCAAAGCAGAGAAATGTTATTTTAAGTTAAATGTGAGCTAGTCCCTGTGGAATAACCCTTTCTCAATGATTCTAAATGTTATATTAATTCACCATTTACCGTTTGATCAAGGATTAGTTTATCAGAAGTACATTTCCTCTTCCATAAAACATAGGTTTGAGAAATGAATGTTCCAATATGAAATCAATTTCTCAATTTCTCAATATAATTTGACTCTTCCCCTCTTTTCTTACATATTGTCACATATGAAATAATAACTCAGGAGTCTATTTAAGCATGGTATTGTCTATATAAGCTATTAATCGAGAAAACTCAGAGTGAGTATGCAACTCGCAAATATCTCTCCTCCTTCCTATCCCTCTTTACTCACTTTCCCATCTCTTTCTCTCTTATTTCTGTTAGATATGAAGGAAAAACATACAAGTCCATGTAAGCATCTGAGTTACCACCGTTACCAAACGGTGTGCCGTGAGGCAAGTCCGGGTGTGCCGTGGGATTTTGTGACAACCATACATTATTTTTTCAATATACAACTACACAAAAATAATCATTTATTTTTCAATTGACTATATCAGTACTTTGTAGGTTTATGTACGTAATCTGCGCGACTTGCGCGTCCACATCTCCACGTGCAGTGCTGCATAAACATGGCTGAGTCAGCGATAACTATCGAGGGGTGGAGGTATGCCCATTATTTTTTATATCACGCAGTCTATTCTTCTTCTCTGTCTTCCGGTTGTTGCCTGTATTAAATGACAAATACACACTACCGCCATGGATTTGATATGAACGAGGCGGCAGTTAGCAGCTAGCGGCTAGCTAGTAATGATGTAGTGATATCGGTAATATTAACTCCATTTAATACAACATTTACGGTACAAGATTCAATCATACAGCCCATGTAGTATGACAATGAATTACAGCAAACATGTGCAATATATCCATTATTACAGCTCCGTGGGATGGCAGTAAGACGATATGGATCCGTTCCCATTGTGCATCCATGGGTAAAGATAAACGCAACTCACATTGGTTCCTCATACAGCATCTCTGTAAACTACGTGTATTCACTGAATTTCACTCTCTGCCTTTAACGCTCGTTGTAGCTCCAAAAGCTCCAGCCAGAGCCTGGCTCCAGCACCCTCCCTGTGAGCACAGTGTGCTCTGATTGGTCGGGACACGTAACATGAACGTGCCGGGCTGCGCGGTCCCGTGGATTAGATGCGCGTTCATAATGCAGAGGGAAATAACTCTCAGAATAACGTTATTAGCAAATGTTTTACAACTTGAGGAACGAATGTTTTTTAATAAGGGCTATACAAGTGTTCATACTGGGTAGTTTATTTAGTTAAAAAAATTATCCAACGAGTTACAGACCACTCTTTCCCCATGTAAGTCAATGGGAAAAGTGTTTTCGGGCCTGGCAACCAAACCGGAAGTGTAGTACCGCCGTTTGGCCAGCACGAATATTTTCATCTGAGTCCGGCGCACGACCTGGGGGCTTGACTACCGCCGCCTGCTGGTAAGGAAAGTTATTGCCACTCACGCATGCGCAGTTTGTACGTGCTCGGCGAGGAAAGTAACGAGTAAAGTACCGAGTTACTTTATGTAGATAGTAACGAAGTAGTGTAATATATTACATTTTTTTTTAAAGTAATACATTTATAATTTGTAGTTCCGGACCATGGACAATGCAGCTTCC